ATCAATTCCGGAAGCTGAAGCTGCCGACCACAACTGGTGGAGAACGGGCTGTGCCATGCGAAACCCATCCCATGAAACGTCCAGCGCCCGAACAAGACTGCACCTACACGTGTACTGCTTCGCGTTGAGCCCAGCGAACTCTCTCTCGGAGGCAGTACTCATATGCTTTGCCTAGCTTCTACTTCTATAGTGCTTACAGGATAAGAACACTCCTGAAAGGCTCTCGTTATATATCGTTAGTCATTCTTACGGGCGCCGCCCCCACTTTGGTCGAATGGGCGGGGTTCGTTACATTAGCACGCAGGGTGCCTGCTTGCTACAAGCCCCAGAAAGTTGAAAGCGGTTTTAAGGATCCATCCAGATTGTCCACAACGATCTCTTCGTCAGGGTCGTTTTTAGGTTCCCTCCAGGAAAAGAACAGGGGTAAGGCTTCATCTCTGTTTACCTGTGTCCTTGAGCCGTTCGATGGCGTCTTTGTAGGTATCGTAGTCATGGCGTCCCACGACGACCACTGGCAAATGCATGATAAGAGACGTTGACTGCACCTAAACATTTTCTGTCAATTGAGCTTTGAACTTTTATATACCATTTTCACTTTAAATTCACCCCTTTTCAAACCAAATTCACCCTCACTTTTCACATCAAATTAACCACACTTATTAGGGCGGGCAACTCATCAACCAGATCACGCCAGACATCACTGCGAGCCCCGCCCCGACGGCCACGCCTACTTGTCAGCGCGGGACATCCGCGACATAGATTTTCAAACCTTGACTCAAATCTTCTGCTTTTGCTGGTGTGTCGCCGACGCAAGACTTTGACTGGGAAAGTGGGACCCCCCCCCCCCCCCCCCCCCCCCCCCCCCCCCCCCCCCCCCCCCCCCCCCCCCCCCCCCCCCCCCCCCCCCCCCCCCCCCCCCCCCCCCCCCCCCCCCCCCCCCCCCCCCCCCACATACCCGACTCCGCCCATTCTGCTAAATGGATTGTAACCTAGGTTCACCCTTGACCACGCCCGACGTTGCTTTTCGCGGCAGAGTTTTTCTGATATTTTGTTTAAAAAATTTTTGCATTCTAGGGCTGCTACGTTAAGGCGCGCGCCTGGCCGAACCCCCCGCCCACTTGCAGAAGCGCCGCCCACTTTTCATAAAAAATTGGTGGTGCAGATCGGTAGTATAGGGTCGCTTTGGCTTTTAAGCTAGTGTCTCGTTGCGTGCCAGTTCATAACAAGGAAAATCCGCAAAGTTGATTCGCGAATGTATCAGCAATACCCTAGGCGATGGGCGAAGATCAGCTCGAGTGAGCGCGAACAGTAAAGTTCAGTACAGAAACCGAGGCTTTCGTCTGTCCCCTGGCATAAGGCAAGAAAATAGCTGATAAATCCTGGCCTCGTAGGGAATACCGCAGTGGAGGGACAGTGATCAGAGTCAGGTTATGGCATTCTCTGTTTGCTCGGTTGGCTGGCCACTTCGTAGGCCGCAAACGAACTTAGGAGAACAATATCTCGCTGAAAGGGACGTATGAAAGGTGGACAGTTCTCGCTGCCAAGCACGCTCCGCTGCATAACTATCTCACTCCGCACTAATTTTCATAACATTTGGGGAGAACCCCCTCTTGGATACCTCGTAGGAGACTGCAGGCGTATTCGCTGGACAACTTTAGAGCGCCTCTGCATTTCTTCCCTAGCCACGGCCCAGGCTCAGGGAGCAAACGGAGAGTCAGCGGAGGTTACACTTGCAGAGCAGGCACTTTTTAGGTGACTCTAACCGTCTACGCTCTGAGCCTAAATCTTGGCTAGGGAAGAGACGCATGGGCGCTGTAGAGTAGTCCCCACACCCCCCGAATACGTAGCACCAAATGTTGTAATGTACTGTGTACCTGTGAGTCCTTCTTGTCGATCCTCGTATTGCGGCGTATAAGATTTGGAGTACAAGCGATCTTCTTCTCCCGTTTGAGCATCGGGACCTGAAATCAGCTTCCTATTCTAAGGATCTCCGAAAGTAACACAAGTGCTGCACATACCTTGCTGTGGAAGGAGAGGTCGATATGCGACGGCGCTAGAAGACAGGGTTCACCATCAACCTAAAATTCGCACATAAATCCTGGTCAAGGGCTCAATGGAGAGAAGGTTTCACCTGCATAGGAATCGCCTTGTATGTCGTGACGTAAACCCGAGAGCACTGAGCTAACCGCTCACCTTTTCCTCCCATTTGAAGAGCAGCCTAAAAAATGTCTAAAGAATTCTTAGGCAATCTCACAAAACAGAAACTTTTCAGGAAAACCTGAAATTAAATTTCGACAACAAGTAGATAGGGGATGGACCAATTCAATCAGTTACAACCACCATAAGGATGAGTGACACGTAATGAAATAAGGCTGGTTGAAAAATAAAACTTGGTTTGGAAAGACTTAGTCAAGTTACGAAAAGCTCAAGAAGTACGAGAAAAAAACCCCAATTCTCACAAATTCCCATAGGTGGAAGTGGGTCGGGAGATTCGGTTAACGGAAACAAACGTCGCGCACACGGTCTCTCAAGGCTGCTTATTGTTTTAGCTCTGTTTTCTGTAGCACTGTCTAGTCAAAATAGTAATCGCTTGGCAAGAATGCTGTGAGCCACTTGCAACGGAAATTTCGCCGCGCTTTACACGGTCCTCTTCGTTAGCATTTCCTGTAGCTCTAGCTCGATCCTTCATGGAAGGGCAGCTTTGTGAGAACAGCCCTACATTACCGAGCCCCCCTGTGGAAAATGTTGGCAAAGGACCCTCTCCCCCCTTGCCCCCTCCCTCTCAAAACTCCCTCTCCTGGTATGATCTCCCCTCTTTCTCCACGCTATAAAACCCTTCCATGTCCCTAGATTCTTCTCCTGAACTACTTCCCCCTTCCCAGAGTTTCTTCCTTTTTTCCCTAGAAACGGCTATTGAGCGAAAAGGGGCATGGGAGGTACATTGTACCATCCCAACGGGAAAAAAACAAGGCAAAGAAAAATTATCAACCAAAAGATTTTGTCATTTGTCCCCTACTTTCAGCGACCAAATACGAAGCTTAGACTTTCACTGGAATTCCCCAATGTACGACGTGCTCAGCTTTCACCTTACATGAACTGCACTACTTTCCCTACAAATTACCTGGAACGAATCCGGTATAGCTAGAGGAACTTACAAGCGTAGCAGTAGTGAATCCAAGCACTTCGATGAGACCATCGCAACAGCTCGGCTTCACGCCATCGGCGGTCACTTCGCTGCCCCACGGTGTTGTACCGCCAGCGTAGTAGGTGATATTGTGGAAGAGTATACAGTGCAGTTTGAGTTCCTTGATTCGAGGCGTCATGTCCACCCCGTCACACTGAAACTTTGTCTAGTTTGAAATTTTCTTGAATTACGCAAATTAAACCTACTGTCATGGATGGATGGAAAAGGCTTTCAGAAGGGCGCCCTTCGGTCTAGTGGGGAGGGGCAGGGAGTGGCTGTAGAGCTGCGAAATGGTACAATTGGGCCACTCAAATTACAGGAATGGAGAGGTCTTCACAAAGCGGCCTTCACAGGCTTCGCCGAGTACTACCCAACCGAACTGCGCCTTTGGAAACATTGGAGTTGGAACGTCAGCGAAGCCGACGTTCATTCCGGGCTTCTCTCCTCCCCCACAAAACAAAAATCACTTGTACTTTTCATGTGTCAGCCTAGCAAGAAATGCAGTGCAGGAATGAGAGATGAGCAGAACAGCTCAGCAGTTCGTACCTCAGCGCTAGAAGGGGGGGGGGGAATTTTCACGGACTCGGTAACGAAGGCGGCAGCGGTAGACAGTTGCCCGTTCAGGCCCACCTTAGCGAGACCTTGCTGCCACAAGAGCGTGCAGACAGCAGACAGAGAAAAACTTTTTTTCTCTCTCTCTCTCTCTCTAACCAATCTGGAACGGCAACAGTTTACAGCTGCCGCACTCACAACCATGTCCGTAGCCCCTCCCCGTACTATGTCGCGATATGAGCTGCAGATCAAAGGGTTTTGTCGCTACGCTATCGACTAGTCGCTACGCTATCGACTGGCGTAGTTCTATAAAAGCTTGAAGGCTGCTGGAGAAGAAGTTACCAACCTCAAGGTAGATGTAATCGGACAGGTCTTTCCAGCTCCTTTTGAAGAGATCGATTGTACCAAGACCACCATACGCGATACGATTCCTCAGCCGACTGTTTAACATTTGAGGATTAGCACCTGAATCCAAAGGTATTACGGTATTATTGTTTTGCGAACTTTCCCCCTTTTGAACCAGGAATGTTAACCACTTTTACCTGACTCTTATAGACTTATAGAACTCTATTCTGTGAGAGTTTGGGGGGGGGGAATCTTTAAAAGTCGCTAATTTCTCTCTCTTCGGGACGTATATGCAATGATCGACGGGAGCCAGCAAAGTGCCGGAACTACGCTATTACGACTTTTCATAGTGTAACGTTTTGGCTCTAGCTATCCATACGGCACTGGAATCTCGTCATCACATCTGTCTCCACCCACACGATCAGCGTAGACTACGTTTTCAGGTCTCCGCAGGCTGGCTGGTCATGGGAACTTCGATGACTGATAACTGATTACTGAAGTACTGATCGTGTTACTTACTTCGACTATGATGAAACTGTAGCGCGACATGGGCATCGGCTCCGATCGAGAAGTAGTTGTTCATTACGGTAAGTGGTAATGACGACTGCACAGCATCGCTCAGTTCATCACTCGTATCCAACACGCAGCTCTCATTCGGTGACACGTATATCCGCCACCTAAGCACTCACTTTCATTTTTTTCTATAAATAACATAGTTATTATTTTAACTTTATTTTCTATGTTTACAGTGCGCTTGATATAAAGCAGCTCGCTAGGGAGAAATTCCGCGATAAAAAAGTGGGCGGAGGCTCGGAAAATATAGGGCTAGCGACTTATGCGTTGATGAGCTGGTATGTACTTCTGAATGAAGTAATTTACCGGTCAAGATGTGTGACTGTTGTTTCGTGAAAGATCGCCTGTAGGAGTTGACTGAGTGGCTCGTCCGAAAACGTTCCACCCCATCCCATGCACCTGAAGACTTCATTAAAATTTTCACCGAAATTAGGTGTTCTACTCAACAAGCCCTACGAGAAAGTATTCATTGCCGGCTGCGATAGGGGCATGCATCCCATTGGTAGGATAGGCAGCCAAATTCAGCCTCCTAAAAAACAGGTCAAATACTTCAGCGAACACTGAATTTTCTTGGTATGAAACTCACGATTGTCAATGTTGCAGGATCCTCATCCTGACAGTTTCATCCAAAACCTCCTACATTACAATGTATTCTCATTTTTGAGTTACCAGTTTTCTATACACTTCTAATCTATAATAAACAGAAATTGAGGTTGATCGTAGAGCCGATTGTACACAAGCAGAAAAAGGGGCAGTTCGGCTCGGGGGTGACACCAATTGGCACCGAGCGAAGCTTGTACAGGCCACCTTGTAAAGACCTGTGAATTCGTGTAAATGCAAAGGCTTTCTTGTGCCACTTTGCACCATTAAAAGAGTTCACAGGTCTCACCAAAGTGAGTTATTAGTTAACATGAACTAGTAAAAGTGCAAACTGCCCCTCTCTCCTGAGCCGCACAGCGCCCAGAAAAGTTGCTCACCCATATTTCGGCCCTTTAAGGCTTGTTATATCAAAGACTTGTCGAGGATTGAGCAGCCAGCACAATGTGTGCAGCGCTTTTGAGCCCTAAAAAATGACTGAATGGTTGAAAAAATGCATAAAAAATGATGATTTTTATACTCCAAAAACTGCAGAATTATTTTAGCTTTTGCACTAACCCACTGCCAAACCATTTCTTTTCCGCGATTTTTTCAAGTTTTTGCTACATCTGTGAAGGTATACGAAAAAGTTTTACTGACCTTATTGCCACCTGACTTTGGATTAACGAAGACGATTAGTGGTTGTGACGGACCTCCTGACCAATCATTTGGCTTTACAATAAATTGGCGTGTGGGCTGAAAATGAAAACTCATAAAGGATAAAGGATAAAGTCTTCGCCGTTAATCAATCCCTTTGTGGGATGCGGCACGCATTCTACTTCCATTCAGAATCGTAGTGGCTTATTGAATGCGATGTGGCCTATACAATGACTTGCGGTGGCCAGCCGATGTACAAGTCAGTGTTTTATCCTCCCAGACGAATCTGGTACCAATTTACCGTCCCCGGAGGGTAGAAGGCTTGGTTGGCCTGGGCGGGAGTCGACCCGGGATTCGAACCCGGGACCGCGCGAGTGGTAAGCGCGCCACTTGTCACTACACCACCTCCGCCTCTCATAACTCATAGCTGATAAAAACGCGTTAAATCAACCTCGGGCCATGTTTGCTGAGGGCCAGTTGGGAGAAATTCAGATTGTCCTTGCATTCTCGAAGACAAACCGTATACTCAAAACAAGGACTGGAAGGTAGTGATACTCGGATGCTCCACCCTCCGCTCGCTGTATCCCCAGTGTGCAGCTTTTGCTTTGATACCGCGATCCTGTAGCGAAACGAGAACAACAGAAGTGAGAGAGCAGGCAAGTAACGGGCTTGGCTACGGTTAGAGTGTGGCTGACAGTATGCGCGGGCGGAGTGTGAAGACCGCCTTGGAGATTGCTACCCCCCGCCCCCCAGCCCGTTCCTGTGCATTTTTGACCGGAAAAGGTGATACTATAGTGCAGCTGTGGATCTATCCGACTCGCATGTGGCCAGGTCCGTCCTCGCAGGCAAATGCACAGTTTTCCTTCGAGATTTTCCTGTGCAAAAGTTAAGTTCAATTCATACAGAAGACTCACTTTCCTACTCTGCCGATTTGACGGTAGTTGCTGCTTGTGCTTTGCTTCGGATGGCGGTTAGGAAGACGAAGAATCCAATTCGGTGGCACCACTAATTCTCGAAGTTGTCCACGATGACACCTGCAAATGGAGAACCGATACACTCTACATCCCTGAGACGCAATAGGCGTGGCTGCGTACTTCATTCGAACACGGCTTAGGAAGGGTGGCTCGTAGGATGATTCCATTTGAGACAACTGTCCTCTTGTCTCGTGGCGAAGACGTGATTACAGTTGTCCCGGAATGAAAATATTCCGTCAAGAAAAGAGCTGCCCCAGCATTCGGATTGGGGACTTTCAGTTAGCCACGCCTACTGCATCCAAGTGATAAAATGGACACCTATACAATTTTTTTCTTGCTTTTTGAAAGAACAATGCCCGTGAACAATTTTTTCTATCTATACCGTTTTTTCCCATCTCCTACGTCTCTTATGTCAGCCTGTAAGGTCGAGAGAACTTTCTAACCTTTCTTCGAGTTTTTCGCGATTAAAGCAGTGCTTCAAATGATAGGATTCTTTGCACCACGAGCAAGCGACAGCCATCGTTTCCTAAACATTAACATTACGTTGCTTCTTGTAGGATTACACTGCCCAAGTAGAGTAAATAAAA